CAGTTTGCCATGAGTTTCTTGCCCAGGAATTCCAGAAAGCCAGGAGATGGCTTGTGGGTTATAACATGCTTTTTATAATCTGAGAATATTGTTTTTGTTGGCTACTAATATTTGTTCAATTGCTTTCCTTGGTAAGCTATAGTAACCCAGAATGAGTCAGGACAGTCCATTTCAAAACAACTATTTTAAAACAGTTTAGGATTTAAAAGTGTTTTGCACAATCTTAATATGTGGGATCATTGACTATGCAAAAGCCTTTGACTGTGTGGATCACAACAAATTGTGGCAAGTTCTTAAAGAGATGGGAGTACCAGACCATCTCATTTGTCTCTTGAGAAACTTATATGCGGGTCAAGAAGCAACAGTGAGAACTGGACACGGAACCACTGATTGGTTCAAAATTGGAAAAGGAGTCCGGCAAAGCTGTATACTGTCGCCCTGCCTATTTAACTTATATGCAGAGCACATCATGAGAAAGGCAGGGCTAGATGAATCAAAAGTTGTAATTAAGATTGCCGGGAGAAACATCAACAACCTAAGATATGCAGATGATACCACTCTAATGGCAGAAAGTGAAGAGGAACTAAAGAGCCTCTTGATGCGGGTGAAGAAGGAGAGTGCAAAAATTGGCTTGAAACTCAACATTAAGAAAACCAAAATCATGGCATCCGGCCCTCTCAATTCCTGGCAAATAGATGGGGAAGAAATGGAGGTAGTGACAGGTTTTATTTTTCTGGGCTCCAAGATCACCTCAGATGGGGACGGCAGCCAAGAAATTAAAAGACGCTTGCTCCTGGGGAGGAAAGCTATGGCAAATCTAGACAGCATTCTAAAAAAGCAGAGACATCACCCTGCCAACAAAAGTGCGTATAGTCCAGGCCATGGTTTTCCCAGTTGCAATGTATGGCTGTGAAAGTTGGACCATAAGAAAGGCTGAGCGCAAAAGAATTTAGGCCTTTGAACTATGGTGCTGGAGAAGACTCCTGCGAGTCCCTTGGACTGCAAGGCGTTCAAACCGGTCAGTCCTAGAAGATATCAACCCCGACTGCTCTTTAGAAGGCCAGATCCTGAAGTTGAAACTCAAATACTTTGGCCACCTAATGAGAAGGAAGGACTCACTGGAGAAGAGCCTAATGCTGGGAAAGACTGAGGGCAATAGAAGAAGGGGACGACAGAGAATGAGATGGCTGGATGGAGTCACTGAAGCATTAGGTGTGAATTTAAATGGACTCCAGAAGATGGTAGAGGACAGGAAGACCTGGAGGAATGTTGTCCATGGGGTCGCGATGGGTCGGACACGACTTCGCAATTAACAACAACAATATGTGGGAATGGTATGGTCTCTTGGATAACCACCATTTGTTTGTCTGTCTTTCTATTACTATTGTTACTGTTATTTACACTCAGTGATTGGTAAAAAAAACCACCCCTGCACATCTGCTTGAGTGCAGAATGGGGTATAGGGGCATCATTGGAACAGAATTGTATTCGAGCTTCAAGACATTTTTGTAACAACTTCTTGTGCTTTGGAGAGGAGGGTGAATGAAAAGAACTTAGGTCAGAGGTAGGGAACAATGGCCCTTTTATAACTTGTGGACTTCAACTCCTAGAATTCTTGAGCTAGCATGGCTGGCTCAGGAATTCTGAGAGTCGAAGTCCACAAGTCATAAAAGGGCCATCGTTCCCTACCCCCGACTTAGGTGAACAATTTGATAATGCTCTAAATCCTAGATGAATTTCATAGACTCATAGAATATAAGAATTGAAAGGTATCTTGGAAGTCAACTAGCCCAACATCCACAAACAGTTGGCCATTATTGGCCATACCTCCATAGAACAGAATTTTAGAAATATTTCGTTCAGGTTTTTATTGTAGTAAGTACTATGAACAATAATACTCTTTTAAGAGAAAGAAGTGCACAATTGGGCAGAATGGAGACGGAGTTGAGTCCAGATCTGACATTCTCACATTGAATTCTGGCAGTGAATTTATTTCTAAATTTGGTGATGCAGATTAAATGTTTGTATGTATGTCTATTTGTGTGTCTACATGTTTAAGAGAACTTAAAAGTGTAGATGTTTGCGTAAGTTCAATTAAAATTGCCCAGAAATTCACAATTTTTTTAAAAAACACCTAACTTTTCCATCCCAAATAAACTGTAATTCTCAATACTGAGAATAACTGCACAATGCTTTCATTCTTATGAAGAATCAGTTCTGATTACATATCATGATAACACACCAATATGGAAACTAACTTCAGATTATTTATCATTCATCATAAAATTTACATAGCCACTCATCTCACCCTTGATAACATATAAGACAGTAATCATATAAAATAATTATTATTTAAAAATAAAAATTATAAAGCTAAGAGAGGATAACAGATCTTAAAAATAATGGAGTCACATCACTGCCTTGCCAATCCCTTGGGGCCCCGAGGCAGGATTGCATGACCAGGTTTTGATTAATTAAAAATCAGGATGAGTCCTGGTTTTTCTAAGGAGAAAGAGAAGACTAAAGATTGCAATTGTGGATTGCAATAATACTTTAGACTCAAAGTATGCTTTGTTTTATTAAACATATTTAATAATACTTTAATTTATTTGATTTAAACAAAAATATAAAAGTTTATTCCAAGGATAATATTAAATTGTAAACGTATGGGGATCTAAATAATTAAAATATGGTTACAGTAGGATGCAAGTTCTTCAGAACATATTGGATAAAGTCTCCATTCTCACAACCATGTTGGACATCTAAAATTGGGAATAGATGTGTGGTTTCTATTGTTTAGTCCTGAATTGAAAAAAATTATATTGCATGGAACATTAAAATAATGTATTTCCAGCTGAATTTCACTTTTCAGATATGCCTTCTGTACTTCTAAAATATGACTCGATTACAAGAAGATAATTGACTGATACCAATTGCCTTGATATTATTTACTCATTACCTTAATTATTTTTATAACTAATTCAAGGTGGCAAACATACTTAAATGCAGGTAGTCCTCGACTTACAACAGGTCATTTGGTGACCATTTGAATTTACAATGGCACTGAAAAAAGTGACCATTGCAGCATCCTCCATGGTTACATGATCAAAATTCAGATACTTGACTAATAACTATGATCATTGCAGTGTTCAGGGGTCATGTGATCACCTTTTGGGACCTTCTGACAAGCAATGAGGAAGCCTGATTCACTTAACAATCATGTTATTAACTTAACAGCAGTGATTCACTTAACAACTGTAGTAAAAAAGATCGTAAAATGGCACAAAACTCACTTAACAACTGTCTCACTTAGCAATAGAAATGTTGGGCTTAATTGCGGTCGTAAATCAAGGACTATGTGTTCTTCCTCCTCCCACTTACCCCACAACAATCTTGTGAGGTGCATTGGGCTGAGAGAGAATGACTGGCTCAAAGTCACTTTGCTGGCTTTCATGCCTAAGGCAGGACTAGAACTCACAGTCTCCTGGTTTCTAGCTCCATGCCTTAATTACTTGACCAATCTAATCTGGCTTTCAAAAAGTAATGACTAATAATCAATATTATGATGGCAAGTCCTAAAACTTGATTTTCTTAATGCACTTATTGAATAATTAAAAGCCAGGTTTATTTAATATGATTTTTAAGTGGTAGCCAACGTTTGAATGTGTGTGGATGAAGTTTTAGAATACTATTTGAAATAAGTGTTAAAGTTTTGATAGTGTTACAATGCCGTAGCTTTCCTTCAAATCCTCCTGCATGTATTGATCTCATCTCTGTGACCTAAGTGTGCCTTTACAGAAGTGATAGGTTTTGTGATGGGAAGAGAAACCCTGTTTCCCAATCTGATTCAATGCCTAGGACAGCGGTTCTCAACCTGTGGGTCGGAACCCCATTTAGGGTCGAACGACCATTTCACAGGGGTCGCCAAACAACACAGTCCGCCATTTTTCCCCTTTTCCTTAGCGGTGCTACTCCCTTTTATTCTATTGGCTTTTGAAAGCCAATAGAATAGACTCTCTTGAATAGAGTCTAATTCTATTGGCTTTCAAAAGCCAATAGGAATTGTCCAGGCTGTCTGTGCCCTGCTGAGCCCGCCAAAAGTCCCATTTTGCAAAAGGTGCTGCACCAGTTGAGTAGTCCTCGACTTACGACCGGTTGGGGGGTCGCGGCATTAAAAAGGTTGAGAACCACTGGCCTAGGAGGAAAGATGGCAGTTTACCTAGTTTCTCCTTGTCCCTTTCATAAACTGATGATTGTGTGTCAACCTTGATAATCTCGTCTGTCTTGGAAACTAAGAAGACTGGTTACCGTAGTACTGGGGAGATTCTCTGGCCTGTCCTAGACAGGGAACTTAAAAAAGATCTCGGCAGAAGGCAGGGGAAATCTACTTCCCTAATGCTGCCAAGAAGTCAGGACATTGTCTGTTAAATCACAATTTCTTTTCCACTGGATAGATACCTTATTGAAGATTGCTAGTAGTAGCACTGTTGTTTCTATTACTGCTACTACTGCTGAATGCATGGTGTGATCATGCATCGACTCCCCGCTCTGTAACTCGTATTTTTGCGAATTAGAATCTTGTTGGGGGAGGGGCATTTTATTGTCGTTCTCTTTGGCGCCCGGGTTGTATGTGTCATAGGAACGGAATCCACCGTCCGCAGGCTCGATCCGAACTCGGACGCTTTGGGTGGCTTACGGTACTGATCCCAGGCCTTGGGAGTGCGTCTCTTGAGGCTCCTTCCCCCTCCCAGCCCAAGATCCACTCGATCTACTACACCGAATCTAATCGCCCAGGCTTCGTGAGGCAGGAAAGCCCAGCTTTCATTTCTCGTTCGCACCGTCGTGCCGCGCCCGGGCGTTTCGTTTTTTTCCGGCTGCCTCTTGAAAGAGTTATGCAATGCTTGATTAGGAGGGAGCTTTCGGCTTGCTCACCTACGCGTTTGGAGAGGGGAGGGAGGGAGGGAGAGAGGGAGAGAGAGAGGAAAAAACAAGGATCTCCTGGGAAGCCCGAGGAAAAAGTCCTGCCCAAGTTGAGGGACGAAACAAGCCTCCCCTCCCCCTCCTTGCACACATGCCAGGGAGAGAGGCCTCCCCGCCCCGGGAGCGAAGCCCCTGCTCCGCACTCCCCGCCCACTTCTCTCGAGCGCGGCTCTGGCTGGCGAGGGGAGCCCAGCTGTTGTCCCTTCTGCGGAGGCCGCCCGCTGTTGCTGCTCCTTTCAGGAACTCGCAGTCCTGCTCCAGTTTGACTTGTTGACTAATTTCAAGTTGTTGAATAGCTCGCGTGCTTATCATAGTTGTGGTTGGCTTCAAGCTGCAGACTCGCTGCTGTCGGGGACGGGGGGGGGGAAGAGAGCGGGAGGCTCAGCGTCAGCGCGTCCTCCGCACAGGAACTCCAGAGTTGGGCTCGGTTTTGTCCCCCAGAACCGCGCCAATTCTGCGCAATCGAAGTGGCGAGCCCAAGTACAGTGGCGTCTTCCTGCCTTTCTCGGCTGCCCGATTTTGCTTTCGGAGTTGCTTGGCTCGGTTGCCGCCTTCTGCTTTTGAAAGAGTCGCCTGCGTGATGTAGGCGGCGTGTGCTGGAGGCTGAAAGGCTGGATCCAGGTTTCTTCCTCTGCTCCTCCACTAAGATTGGAGCAAGCTTAGACGGGTTTAGGTTGGTCTCAACCCAAAATCCAGCCTCGGTCCGGAACATCCTGGCCAGCAGCCTCTCAGCTTTCTATAGAACTGGCACGATAGAGCCGATACGCGCAGAGTCCAGGAAAACCCATTCCCCGGCCTCTCGGATGGTTTCCAGAACTAGAGTACGAACCCGGAAGGTGCACCACGTAAGCCATAACTGCCACTGGGCATGTGCAGAGGGCAGCCTCAAATCATTACGGCTCACCGGAGGGACTAAAGCCGGTCTCCATCCCGGGGCGTGCAAGATGAGGGCTGGAGCCAGCACAGTGCCTTTTCATTTCGAAGGTACAGCCTTCCCTTGAGTGTCCCCATTCATCACCTTTATTTATTGACTGATTGTTCATAAATTGATCCGCTCTTCCCAGGCCCCTCTCGCACCCGAGTCGGGCGGGAGGGGTGGGGGAATGAAAGCGACGTTCACTGCGCCTGCTGTCCCCCTTTCTCTCCCTGGCGTGTGCGGCCGGGGTGGGTGGGTGGGTGACCGCGCGCTCGTGTTGTCTTCTGCGGCAAGCAGCAGATTTGCATTAGCATAGCTGATCTCTTGGGACAAAGGCACATGTAAGGGAGAACGGGGCCCTACGCCCCGCCCTCCTTAGCTGGCCCAGCGAGGGGGCATGTGTCGCCTGCCTCCCAGGCCTTCTGAGGGAGGTGGGGCGGAGGGGAGTGGAGAGCAGGCAGCAGCAGAAGCAGAAGAAGAGAAGGGAGGGAGGGAGACGGAGTGCCTGCCTGCCTTGCCTGCCTAGGGACATAGGCGGGGCTTCCAACGTGAGCCAAAGGGCAAGGAGCTTGCAGAAGCCTTTCCTCGCGTCACTCTCTCCGCCTGGCAAGTGCTGGAAGCGCAGGCTGCTGCTCTTCCAGCGCTCGCCTGCCTGCCTGCTCCCTCCCTCCCTCCCTCTCCTCCTCCTCCTCCTCCACCACCACTACCACCACCATTGTATAATGCTTCGTGATCGCCGCAGCCACAGGAAAGCGGAGGCTTAAATCCTCCCCGAGCGGCACTCGCTTCCCCGCCCCCCACCCTATTCCACCTCCTCTGTCCCACCGTCAGCCCCCCTCGGGCGAGGAGAGTGACATATGGAGCGAGTGGAAGATTAGGAGCGTGCAGCGGCAAGCAGACCCTGATGCTTTAGTTCTCAGGAGGAACTGCATGTGGTAAGTTCAACTCGCCGCTGAAGAGGAGCGGGCCAAAGTGGGCGAAGGGGGGGGGTCATCGTCGCCAGGAGTCACGCACAATCCAGCGGGGGATGTAATTGACTCGGTCAGCAAAGTGGGGGATTAGAGGTGTATGCGGGGGGGGGGCAGGGGCGGCGAGATGTACTCTAGACAAATCTCGGGGGCCCTGGCTTAATAAATATCTTCCTCGTAAGCCGATGGGGCGAAAGACGTCCGCGAGAAAAGCTCGGGAAACTCGGCTCTTCCGTGTCTTGACTGGATTCCCCCTGTAAACCCTTCGGATAGCGATCTTCCTCGCCTCCCGAGAGACCGATGGGCAGTAAGAAGAGGTTGGCTGAGTTACTTTTCTGGCCACAAAACCACTGAATCCCAACGTGCGGAGGGATCGGAGGGTCCGATGTGCCTCGAAGCAGGTGTGTGTGTGTGTGCGTGCCTACTCGTGTGTGGCTTACGGCAGGAATGTAACTGCACGTTTTGTCGCTCTCTTTACTCACTCTCCCGAGTGTGATATATTGAGAGTTTTTCAGAGCCATCTTTACAGTGCAACTTGGTTTTGCTTTGACAATTTTCAGCGTCTGCTGTGGAGTTCGAGATGCAGAAACTGCTTACCAGTTTCTCTGATGTTGGAGAAAAAGCAAATGTGGGGGTGGAACAGAACCTTAAACTGGGGTTCCAAGTGAGCAAAACCCAACTCAGAGCATCTGTGCATTATTTATTCGTTTGATTAGGACATGATGGCCTGTTGAGGAAGTTTAAAGAGCTGTCTCTGGGTTGTACAATTAACATTTTAGCCTGGTTGTAAGTATGTATATTCCAACTGGTTATTAAAGAGCTGGGTTATCTTCTATGTCTTGGTATGGGACAGAAGTATTGATGTAAATGGAAAATCATAATTATAATTTTGGCTTCCTAAAAGCTGCAGTAGGTTTAAAAGCAACTCTTGAATATGAAATGCAGAGTTTTATTCTTTGAATCACATAGAACAGGGTCACCACTGAGCAGAAGTTGGCAAGACTAATTGAAACAGCTCTCCAACTTTGTTTCACTTGACTGAAAGTTCATGTAAGATCTTGCAAAAAAAAAAAAAATGGTGATAGTGACCATTCAGAATTCTTAATGGGAGTCACTCCCTCCAGTTTTGCTCCCTTGAGATCCCATAGCACTGCTGTTCCAAAGAAACATGCTTCTTTTGGCTTCTGTGAAGTTTTATAAATGCTTGGAGTAAAGGCCTGATTCCACTGCCATATCAAGAATACAATTAGGTATATTCAGTGACTGACTTTGGAGTTTTTTTGGTTGAAAGTGGCAGAAAAATAGTGTTGAGTTAGCCTAGACTTTGTATCCAGGTGTTGGCTCAAAGATCAGCCTTGTGTTAACCACTCCCCCTCCCACCTAGCCCATGACACTGTAAATCAGCCTTTATAATGTACTGGCCTCCAGGCACGTTAGATTACAAATTCTGCTTCCATAGTCAACAACTGTGCCAAGTAGAGAAGATGGGATCTGTAGTCTTTTTGGAGGTTATCGGTTGAGAAAGGCTACTATGTTGCTATATGGACCATGTTGATTCAATTGGGCTATGGCCTATGCTACTCAAAGAGAATTCTTGCCCTTGATTTCATTCAGCCTTTCTTCTCTGGCAGCCTCACGTTCTTTAAATTTGTGGCAAATCGGGTATTTTTATTAGGGATACAGAATAGCTAGCAGTAAGAAACTGTTCAATTATTTATTCTGTTTTATTAATTGTCTGATGCAGTAGGAAAGAATTTTTAGTATTTATTTTACTGGAGTATATATGATACATGTATTGCAAAGCAAGAAAAAGGCACTTCCTTCTCTCATCCCCATTCTCCCCACCCCCTTACCCTTTGCAAAGGCTTCTTGAAGAATATTCCATTGTTTTGCTTTTTTTAGGGCAACTCTTTAAAGCAGCCATAACCCCAAGAATTGTAGATTATGTAGACAGGTGCTACATTTGTGTTCCTTGCACTTTAGGGCATCTTTTAGAATTGAATCTGAAACTTTGCAGTGCCCTGCTATGTTCTTTCTTCTTGAAGTAATAAAGCAAACTGGTGTCCATAGAAGGAAACCAATTTTAAGTTTAAGAGGAAGTATTTTCTGACTGACAGTGTATTGGGGATGAAGAAGGGATTAACAGCTTTGATGCCAGACAGGTATATGAGTCTGTATCCTAGGGAACACTTCCATTGTTCAAACAGGAATTGTAGCTGCAATGAGTTTCTTCCTTTGGGAGCTTTATCTGCATCATTTAATAAAAGAAGTTTGTCTTCAGGAGGAGGAAATAAGAATTTTCCAATATTGTAGTTATGTTTATTGAGATTTGTACCAAGTGTGTAACAGAACAGTTCCTAAAATGTTCTGTGCTACGTTTTTTTTCTCCTGATACCTAAAATAGATAGGAAAACCTGTTCTAATACAATGATTTTTATTCTGAATAAGACAGCTTGAACAAGTAGAGTCCTCTAAAAGTACAAAAACTTCACTGATATACTGTGTTCACAAGTTTATCTTTTAAAAAATGTTTCTTTCACTTTAAAAAAAAAATACAGTATGGCTCTTCCAACATAAAAAAACAGGTTAAAAAGCTTATATTGAAGAAAACTACTTTAGTCATCTAGATACCAGATTTTTAAAACCTACCTTAATGATGATAGTGATTTTGTGTATATACCAAAACAGTTTGCCCCTGAATTTAAAACTTCTGAAGGATCTTACATAATAATAGTCAGTTGAACTACTTTGCTGACAAATCTTCAATCTTCACTCTTGGTATGACACATCAGTGTGAAAAGTACAACAGAGCTTCGTTTGATATTTTGCACATTTTAAATGGAGTGAGGTTTGTGAATTTTGCATTCGCCTCTTCTTTATTAGAGAGTGCACTATATCAGAAGTGAGACTAACATTTCTAAAATGTAACTGTGTTCTTCTGTCCCTCTCATAAGGGCTCTTTAGTGCCTCCTTTGGAAGTACAGTTTTTGTCTAAAAGATAACACAAATGGAGACAGCGCCAGTTGCAACAGCTTCTTGGCCAAAATGGGGGGGGGGAGGGAAAGAGAAAAGAAAAGAAACTATGCCAGAAACAGCAGGCTCTGATTACAGAGTCCAAAGATCATTTTATGCACTAAAGGAAAGTCAGTGAGTGAGTGCAAGGTCCAGTGTAAATGACTGCAGGGAGGAAATAAGTCTAGGGCATAAGAACAGCTGATCTATTTTTCCCATAATCAGCAAGATTTTTGCTAATTGTTCCGTTATTGCCCAGAGCAAAAACCCTTTAGGCTAACACTTGAACGGAAGTAAAGAATTGAACAGACAAGGGAGAGCATGCTATGGTGTGAAGCTCTCACATTCTGTCTCCTCATCTAGATCATGGGTGCCCAACTTTTTGATTAGCCTGGGCCACACTGAATGAAGAGGAGAATTGTCTTGGTCTGGATATAAAATATATAGCATAGTTAATGTATGTAAATCACACAATACTATTAACAGTTCATGATCTTTTGGGGCTGCATTACTAGCTGTCCAGGGCTGCGAGTTGGGCGTGTCTGGTCAAGATAATGATCACCCAACTTTCATTTTTTTATTTTAGTTTCTTTAATCCCGCCCTTATTATTTTTATAAATAACTCAAGGTGGTGAACATATCTAATAATTCCTATTCCTCCTATTTTCCTCACAACAACAGCTGTGCACGGTGAGTTGGGCTGAGACAGAGTGAGTTGCTCAAAATCACCCAGCTGGCTTTCATGCCTAAGGTGGCATGAGAACTCAGTCTCCTGGTTTCTAGCCTTGGTGCTTTAACCACTAGACCGTGGTGTGGTATAGTTTCATGGTGGCTAATCTGTTCCATCAACTTGCTTCAGGAGGATGTCAATCATAAAATGCAGTCATTATGATAGAGCTGATGATTTAAAGCTTGGGCATTGATGGTGCAATCCCAACCCTTAAAAGGAATTAGTTCCTTTTAAATTTGGTAGGGTTTAATCTAAAAGTGATTGCAGCCTAAAAAGCTATTTTATGTGTGCCATACTATCTCCAGTGCTTTTACCAACTTGTTATTCCAATGCATGCGGTTTGTTAGAGTTGGAACTG